CTATAACCCTAATCCATATATTCTATTTCTCCGTTTGCAAGTATAAAACAATAATATTGATTTTTGGTGAATGTCTGGATTCACGAGACAATTGAGGCAATAAATATCATTCGATCTTAGATTCAACGGTACCTGAAACAATCTTGGACGAGAACTCGAGAAGACACTCTAACAATAAAGTTAGTATTTGGTAGAAGGGAATGATTAGAGTTCAGACAAAGACATTAGGCTGGAGGGAGTGGTGCCACCAAAACCGAACTTCCTCCCCCACCACATCAGCACCATATCACGTTTTACCACTCAAGTGTGGTTTCTTGTCACACTTTTCATTTCTTTTACTTTTTTGTTTTTTTTAAGTATTTTTAATTTAATAAATTTTTTTTTTAACTAATTTAATTTAATATACCTTCTATTTTAATTAAAAAAAACATAATTCTTCATTACTTGAAAATAAAAAAAACAGTACATTGCGTTACCAAAATAAAAAAAAAAAAAAACCACACACATGACATTTTAACAAACTTAAAAAACATAAATAAAATAACTAAAGAAAACTACATAAAGTCGTTCTCCGAGAACTCGTCTTCGGGGTCATCCGGTGGATCCAAATTAAGATTAATGTTTTGAACCCCGTAAATGTGTTCCACCAAGTCATTGCGAAGATTATGAAATGTTTCAGTGCAACGTATCTCTGCTCTTCTGTTTATATACTCTTCGCCACCAATTTCTATTGGCTGTGTCTCTAGTATGATTTCTTCCTCGTCAAACGCACATATCGCTCTTCTTTCGTCTTCAATAATCATGTTATGCAATATAATACATGTATACATGATTTCTTGAAGTTTTTCCTCGCCCAAATAAGCTGCTAGTTTTTTCAATATGAACCACTGTTTCTTCAGAACTCCAAAAGCACGCTCAACATCCTTCCTAGCTCTTTCTTGAGCTCTCTTGAATTTCTTTCGTCTAGAACCATGTGGAGCTGAAAACGACTTAACAAATACAACATACTCGGGATAGATTCCATCGACCAGATAATAACCATACTTATATGGCGTTCCATGCTCTTGAAAAGAAAAATCTGGTGCGGATCCATCGTATATGTTGTTAAATATTGGTGAACGGTTAAGAATGTTGATGTCGTTAATCGAACCAGGAGAACCAAAAAAAGCATGCCAAATCCACATATCTTGTGATGCAACTGCTTCAAGTATCACCGTTGGGTGACCATGATCACCTTGGGTAAATTGCCCATGATATGCTGTAGGGTAATTTTCCCATGCCCAATGGAGACAATCTAAGCTTCCTAGCATTCCAGGAAACCCATGCACACTAGCATGATGAGCTTGCAATTGCAAGATGTCATTACGTGTAGGCTTACGTAAATATTTTGGACCATAAAACTGAATGACAGTTTTGCAGAACAAAATGGAGACTGTCTCGTGCTATCCTAGCAGACATCCTAAGACTTTCGTCTAACGCATCAGGCGGAATGCCATATGCTAACTGATGAAGTGCGGCCGTGCATTTTGTAACGGAGTGAAACCGGGTGTACCTCTAGCATCGTAGCGTTGTTGGAAAAAACTGCACTCCCTCGTTACATCTTCAACTATACGTTCGAATAAACCTTTGAGCATTCTGAAGCGCCTACGAAAATAATACCCTTGGTAAGTGGCATTCTCTGCAAAATAGTTTTGCACCAAACGTTGGTTGGCTTCTTCACGATTTCTGTAAATGTATCTTCGTGTTCTCTGTTGAGAACTTGCAGCTGCGTTGCTACGTACAACGTTGTATGTTTGTTCCGCCATTTGAACACATGTAATAGCGGTATCAAAAATAGTCTAAAATTCTTCAGAAGATAACGTTTTTTGGAGAGTGGTGATTTAAATTGTTTTTTTTTTTTTTTTTGAGAGAGAGAAGATTGTGTTGTGAAAAAAAATTAAGTTTGATATGTGTATATATATAGGAAGGAAAAAAAAAGCAAAAGGAAAAAAAAAATTAAAAAAAATAAATGAAATTGCATTCAACGGTCAAAAATTTGACTAGTCAATCACATTTCGCGGTCTTCAAAGGCCGCACCGCGGTCTCAATGGCAGGAAACCGCACCCTGGGGGCGGTGTTCCCTGCTCAGGTGGCACCCAAGTACGGTCCCAAACTGCACCACACCGTGCAGCCTTAGGGTTTTTGCCCCTCTACCTAGTAATAGCCATAGGGTGAATTACATGTTATTCAGATCCCTTGGTAGGTACTTATTGCAATCAAACAGTGGTTATCTTCCATTATATATATATATATATATATATATATATATATATATATATATATAATATATATATATATATATATATATATATATATATATATATATATATATGAGCGTTACATGAACCTCGCAACTTAGAGAAATTGAATTGGACCTTTCTACTTGCTACTTGATAGTAGGGGTGAGCAAACCCGAACCAAGAAACCGAAAGCTTGAGCAAAACCTAAACCGAAAAAAACCGAAACCGGAGCAAAACCGATGGTTAGGGTTTCAAATTTCTAAAAACTGAAAAATCAGGTTTGGTTTCGATTTTTTCCTAGAAACCAACCAATCCAACCCGAGAAACCGACCCAACAGTTGAGTGCTATGTTTTTGTATATGTAATCATATAAATATATTATTTAGGGAAGCCTTTTTAGGGTTAATCTTTTTATGATTCCTTACGATGCCTTTATAGTAGAAGTTCATAATCGAGCTCTTCTAAGGCATTCGTTTTATATTAAGAAATATATTTTATATTTATGGAACATATTTATTGTAACACTCAAAATCAGAAAGTCCAAGAAAGGAAAGAAAACCCTAAGTCAAAGGGTCAACTCGTTGAGTCCAGGGAGGAACTCGACGAGTCGGAGCGGGATCCAGGGGATCGATTAAGTAACCAAG